GTTTTGCTTTCTTTTTTTTTTTTTTTTTTCTTTACAGAACCGCAGGATGAAGCGGCAGGTTGATGTCTGGGGGAGCTGGGGAGAATGGGGCGAGTGCAGTCGGAGCTGCGGTGGGGGAGTCAGTTTTCGGCAACGGCGCTGCTATTCCCAGAGGTGAGGGGTACCCTCCCTTTTCTTTGTTTAAATGTGTTTTTCTGTCACTGAGCTCCTGTACATATGATCCAAGCTACATCCAGAGGCAAGCTGGCCTAATGTTTATTCCAGCAGAATAAGTCATCTGAGTCGACTTTGACAGGATCCTCAGCTTCAGTGTGTTGACCGCTGTTCTGAGTAGAGCTCTAGTCATCATGTCTCTGCGTTGGCTCCTGTGCTAGAACACAGTGGTTTCTCCAAGATCTGAGGCTGTGTAATCAAGAGCTGTGTGACTGGTATAGCAAGTGGGTGTTTGGTCAAGGCCAGTGTATGCTGGCAGGTGTGAGGGAGAGTTCAGAGCAGTAGGTTTCTCTGCTGAGAGCCTTGGCTGGGCCAAGAGTTTCTCAGGCTTGTGATTCCCAGGAAGGGAAGGTGTCCCAGGGGAAATGGAAGAGCGGAGATGGCTCAAGCAGTGTTAATACTGTGCCATCTCATTTGCAGCAGGCTTAGATGCAGTGAGGACAATGACCGGAACTGCACTTGTTGGAAATGGTGGACCTGAGAGATCCTGCTGTGGATAAAAACCATAAAAAGAAAATAAAAAAGTCAAAGTCTCAATACCCTGAAAAAAGCAGCCTCTTTATGTTTAGAGAAATAAGAAAGAGTTTTCTAATACGAGAATCCAGAGTTATTCAGCAGTGCTTCCTGCCACCGAGAATAAGAAAAAGTGTCTTTTGAAAGCTGCCCATCGTGGTATACACCTGTGTCGTGGTGCCAGGCCAGAATCCCTGAGGGCCTGTTTCTCTATTTTTGGAGTGCTGAGATGATAGGCGTTAAAAAGGACGCAACAGTTGTTGGCTTTTCAGATCCATTTCCTCCCTAGCTGTTACTCTGCATAATGCTCAGCTGGAAGACATTTGACTGGAACCAAGATAGTTACACACTTTTTCATGAGCATGTTTAGCTCTTCCCACCAATGGGCCTCGTGTGAGTGTGAACTGCAGGAGAGGTGATGTGCATACCTATTCTGAATTGGTCACTATTCTCCTGCTCACAGCATATTTCTGGTAAGGATGCCTTAGGTGTGCACTCGTAACAAGCTGGACAAAGAACAAAAAGCTCTGCTTCCAATATTTAGTGAGAACATGGCCCTGGGAAACTGAAGAGCTATGCTGCAGTAGTTCCTGGTGCGTGTCTCATTTGTGCCAGCACATACAGTAAGAAATGCACTAAAAGATGCCAGCTTGCCTTTATACAAAAGAAGCACACTTTAGTTATTTTGGAGCTTCAGGGAACTGTGTGTTTTGTATGCTCAGTGCAAAGGTGATTTGTAATGATAACTGTGAAATGATTTTTTTTTTGCGTGTGTATTCTTCAGAGAGCTTCATGTTGCTTTTCTGTCTTTCAGGACAGAAGGTGGTTCCAGTTGCACTGAACCAACTCAAAACTACCGTTCATGCAATATTCAGGTACAGTACTCAGTTTGTGCTCAGTTTCTTGTTTTTGTTTTCCTGTTGATCCTCTTCCCCAAACATCATCATTCTTGTTCAGAAGTAACATGCCACTGTTAGTTCTTTTTTCTCTGGCATTGCTGGTGAATACTGTTCAACAGTACCACTCCAAAAACAGATTGGTCCCAGGCTAGAATGTATGCCCCTGATTCTGTATGGGAGCCCGGAGGGAGACTTTTTAGTTGCATACTTAGTTTTCCTCCTTTTCATAATGACCCAGTGCAACCTTTCTTTTCTCCAAACAGAGCTGCCCAGAAGGCTCCCGGGATTTTCGGGCAGAGCAATGTGCAGAGTTTGATGGGACGGAATTCCAAGGAAAGAAATACAAGTGGCTCCCGTATTATGGAGGTAACGACAAATACGTAGGGTTAATTTCCTCTCTAACTATCAACAGCATGTTTTCAGGTGACTTAAATGCGTTTGACTACAGTATCCTAGCAGGGTACTTCCCTAGGTAGAGTAGCAGGAGGGGTTTTGGCGTTGAAAAAAACTTTTTGCCAGCAATAGAGTATTGCTGCCATTAAGACTTTAGATGTGCAAGCCAAGAGACACCTCCCATTACAGCAGTATGTAGTTGTCTCTTGTGATGGCTTTTCTTTCAGAAACATTGCTCAAGATAGCTGGAACTGGCTGCACAGAAGTCCGAAAGTCTTAGAGAAGTAGCATATCTGCAATATTTTTCAATATCACTGAAAGAATATTGACTATGGCACATGAAAAACTAAAACGCATGCAATTAATGAGTGCTCCAGAAAATGACATGCCTTGCAACTGACCCACACTTTCCCGAGGAACCGGTTCAGAAGGCAGGTTATGAAACCAGAGGCCCTTGCTCTGAGCTTTGATGTGTTATCATTCACATTACTTTAACAAATTCTGATAGATTTCAACATAGATTGAACATTTTGCTTGCTGGTTGTTCAGATTATGGCTCCCTTGTGTTCTGCACCAGCACTTGTTCTCCCTCTAGAATGCCTTGTCCTCCATGGGAGCATAAGAACAGCCCTAGCAGGCACAACCAAAGATCCGCCTGGCCCAATGTCCCCTCTGTAACAGTGGCCAACAGAGGTGCTTGAGGAAAAGGATGAATAGAATGAGACTTTCCCAAGGTGCTTTTGTGGTCCAGAAATTTGCTCAGTATCTGCCACTTAATATCAGCCCACCCTTCTGTTTCTGCTCCCATGATCTAGAACCAGGCTCCTGATGCATTAGTAAGCGCTTAGCCATGCTATGTAACGTGTATTTATTTTTTTCCTTCCTACCAGCACCCAATAAGTGTGAGTTAAACTGTATTCCCAAGGGAGAAAACTTTTACTACAGGCACAAGGAAGCAGTGATAGATGGGACTACGTGTGAACCTGGCAAGCGGGACATCTGTGTACAGGGAGTCTGTCAGGTGGGTAACTCTGTTGCTTGCTTTCTTTACCATCATGTCTGTCAGTCTTTCTGGTGCTCCTCTTTCTTCTAGTTGGCCCTTCATAACACCAGGAAAGCAAAATTATTCCGTTTCGGGGGTGCTGAGGAACATGTGGGCAGCGTTCATCTATCTGTCTCTGATTTGGAGTAGAAGATGCTAGTTCTGTCCTTCCTCTGACAAACCCTTCCCTGTCTTCTCCTGACTTCCCAGACTCCCTCGATTCGGGCTTTTTCTTTGGATCAGTGCATCTGATGTTTCTTTTTTTCCTTCTTTCCTTCCCCATTATGGCTTATTCACATTGATACCCCTGTGCTCTGACAGGCTGTTGGCTGTGATAACATGCTGGACTCTACCAAGAAGGAGGACAAGTGCCTGCAATGTGGAGGAGATGGCAGCACCTGCTATGGAGTGAAAGGCAATTTTGATGTGGCCAGCCTCCCCAAAGGTACAGATATAGATAGTTTGGGCAGGCAAGAAGGGGAGAGTTAAACCTAAACTCAAGCTGCTCTAAGGGCTGATGGAGATACCTACTCACCTGATCGATATAGGCAGGCTTGGATGTTCACTTGAAGAGTCCAGCTGTATGGTATGTGGCTCTTTAACTGCTTTAGTATTAGAAAATGTAATTGCCTTACCCTGGGAATCTCTTCCCGTGCTGCTGCTATCTTTCCCCACTCTGTCTCCGGTAGATGCTATAAGTGCACCACGTGGATATAGCTACGTATAGCCTTCATAAAACTCCCCTTGTCCAGTGTCTCGGCAGCCCCACCAGGTTTGGTGGGAGACTAGAAATGGGACTAGAATCTGCATCTTCTACGTTTTGCCAGTTTTGAGTAGTTTCAAGATAACAACGGCATTGTGGTCAAGTCCCTCTGTGTTGAGCTCCAACGTGGTTCTTACAGAAATAACTAAGATTTTAAATTCTAAAAACAAGACTTGATACTAATCCCTGTGCTTACTCTTCTGAGGTGTAGTTGCAACTTTCTGTGCAACTGGACATGGACTGGGCCATGGATAGTTTTGGGTGAAGCTGTTCAGAATGCAGGTACAGTGAGAGCTAAAATGCTTCAAGCCACCATTGTAAAGCTCATCCATTTGTTCAGGCACCAATGAAACTGGGAACATCTTTGGCATAGAATAAAGACTGTGTATCACACAGTTAGATATTGAATAATATCCTTCATTTTTCTTCAGGTTACAATCAGATCTTCATCATCCCCATGGGAGCCACCAGCATCCACATTAAGGAGGTTATGCCCAGCAGGAACTTTCTGGGTAAGACTGATGTCAGTACCTGTGTTTCAGTCCATTTGGATTCAGTTGAAATTTGGTTTTCAAATACACTGGGCTTTGGGATGTTTGCCTTGAAGGCTTGACCTGGCAGAGGAAAGAACTGTCTGAAAATCAAGGTCTGAATATTGAGTACCCTTAAAATGTTAGGGATGCTGAGCTCTGGGCTTCAGATTTAGCTCGTTCTGTTTTCTGTGGTCATCTTGATGTTGGGTAGAGAATAAAAAAAAAACCCAACCACGTTCAGACTTCCTACCTGGGAGGGAGTCTTGCTGATACAGCAAAATTTGATATGAGTTCTGCTGTTTCATGGGTAAACGTAACCCCCAGCTCCTCCTGCCACCCAAAAGTTTTGGCTTCTTTTCCCTGTAGATATCTTCTGAGTATTTTTCTGTACAACCTTGAACTCTGGGCATGCTGCAAAGGGCAAAAAGGGAGGGATAATGTCCTTGTCTAGCTTTTCGGGGCAGGCTGAGGAAATCCCAAGGGAGAAAGTGAATACTCTTCTGCTTTCTGACCATAGTCCAATGCTTTGGACAAATCAGTCTGGTGATGTTTTCCTTTATGTATTACTGGATGCAACACAAAATCTTTGTCTTCTGAACAGAACATGTGATGACCAAGATAGTAGTGCAGAGGCTGTGGTGCGTAAACGCATCTTAATGTCTGACATAGGCTGTGCCCTGGTGGCTCACAGAGAGGAATGTAGAGACAGGGCTGGAGTCTGCTGGAGGGATTTGGCTGTGCAGTGAAAAAGTGCTTGGTTTGCAGAAAAGCCTGTCAAGTACCACTGTCTGAACAAGGAGCAACCCCTGGCTAGAGAGCATTAGTGGGGGGACAGCACTGTCAGAAGATGGTCACCTTTATTGGAGTGAAAATAGGAGCATCCCTATTGAGTTCTTATGGACTTCTTTTGATGCATGAATTTTTGCTGTGTTAGTAAATGCTGCTTTGTTAGCTTGTGGTCAGTCACAGCTCAGAAGGTTGCAATACTGGTGCAAAGAAGCGGGGGTTCGAAAGGCTGAGCTGAGAGCTCTGTGGATTGCCGATACCCTGAAAGCCTAGAGCAGGCCCTGTCACATGGTATCTAGAGGAAATGATATCCAGGTGTCAAGTTATAAATGTGTTAATTTCCTGCATTTTCTTCTCTGGCATGTGGGTTTGACCAGCTGTCAAGAACGTGCGAGGGGAGTATTATCTGAACGGGCATTGGACAATTGACTTCAGCCGAGCACTGCATGTAGCTAGCACAGTAATGCACTATGATCGTGGCTCAGAAGGTGATCTGGCCCCAGAGGTCCTCCATGCCAGGGGCCCCACCACAGAACCATTAGTCATTGAGGTAAGTGGCTCTGCCTGTGCCCTGATGATGTGCTTACTCTCTCCCTTTGCAAAGCTGCCCTTGTTTTTTGCAGAGAAAATGTGTTGGTGTGGACAGGGTGGGGAAGACTCTGGAGGAGTGACTGGGCTCCAGGGAATTTTATAAGGCTGCAGGCCCCCAAGCTACAGCAGGGTGCTTTTTTTGCAGAAATCACACTGCTGTCTTCTCTGGTTCTGTTACCCAAAAAGGGGCAGGGCAAGGCTTGATTCCTGCCTCTTTCCTTGGGTCCTGAAGTGAAGGAGAGAAGAGGAGAGAGAGTCCAGCACAGAAGGGAGTTGGGGCAGGGGCAGGCTCTAGGGGACTGCTTGTCATAGTGTGCTGTAGGCCAGGCCAGGGTACTTACTGTTACGGGAGCAGCTGGATCTTCTGGCTATGAGAAAGATGAATGCACCCTTCTCTGGAAAGTGAGATGCTCTCTAGAGTATCGAGGAAGGCAGGGAGAAAATACAGCATAGAGAATAATTACTCCCTGAACTGGAGAGACGCAGGTCTGCACGAACCCTCAGGCATGGTGGGGAAATGCTGTGAAGGCGAATAGTGCTGCTGCTGCTGTTGTTTTCTTGACTTTATCCCATGCTTTCATAGCTCATCAGTCAGGAGCCAAACCCAGGGGTACAGTATGAATACTACCTGCCAGTGCAAGGACAGAGCTCAGGTTACAGCTGGAGCTACAGTTCCTGGAGTGAGTGCAGCTCTGAATGTGGAGGAGGTAAGGGGCCCTGGTCTCCAGCAGGTACCGGTACCGGGGTTTATATCCACTCCTTGCAGGACTGACACTGTGTGACCATGTGCTGCCCTCTGCAGCTGCTTCCCAGCAATCTCCTGCTGGAAGACAACCTAGCATAGGTATCTGTAGGAGGCAGCTAAGGTTTTGTCAAAGGAAGGTCGCACATGGTCGCACAAGAAGATTTTGTCCCTTGCCTTGTCCTGTCTGGTTTTTGATGTCCTATTTCGCAGACTTTTTGCTAGGATCTGTTAATACTCTTCATAGATAGCCTTTGTTTTCTTTTATTGTGCTTCAGTTCTTTATACTGTTTTCAGGCCTTTTGGACCACTTACTTCAGAAGTCCTCCCGAAGCTGACCTGGCCTACATAACTGAGTCCCATCATTCCCTTCTACAATAGCATGGAAGATTCCCTCTCTCCAGGGGGGATGTCAGATCTCCTGGGGTGTCACATCTTGTTCAGTGTACATATTCTTCCATGAGCAGAGCAATGGATTTTAAGAAAAAAATTCAAACCAAAACAAACAAACAACTGTCTCCCCCACTCCCTGCAAACACCCTCCTAGCTGGATAGTCTGCAGAGTTCCTACCTGCCTCTTCTTGTCTTCTGATGGCTATTTCAATAGCTTTTACAATAGTGTGGTTTTTAGGAGCTGATGTTGTCTTTGCTGAGCGCTGTTATCCTATAGGAAGCAAGAAGAGTTGCATTTTTCTCCATGTCTAGTCTTCACAAGATTGATCTCCTGGGTCCGATATCTGCTCCCAGTTCTACTGCTGTATACTGCAAACACCAAGAAAAGCTCCTTGATAAGCAGTATATGCATAGGGTACTTTTCTTGTGAGTCAAGATCCTCTCAGATTGCAGGAAAAAGCTCCTCAGCTAAGAGAACTATTGTGTCTCTCTTGCTCTTCCTGTGTACTCTTATAACGTGAGGAAGCATCGTTCATACGTATAGTAACAGGTCAAGAATTGCATCCGACTGCTTTCTGGGTGGGCTGTAGGGGGGTGCAGATTCTGCACTACTTTAGGAACTTGTCTTGGCAACGCCAATGCATTTCAAACCTTGTCCTGCGTGGCTTGCATTGATGAGGATTCTCTTGCTCCTCTTCTTTAGGTTTCCAGTCCCGCTTGGTATTTTGCACCATAGACAATGAAATTTATCCTGACTATATGTGCAGGAATAAACCGCAACCAGACAATAACCGGACATGTGGCCGTCAAGCTTGTCCCCAGACAAAACGGTGAGATTTCCTTTCCTCTTCTGGACTCTGACTTCTTCCTGAGGTGCTTTCAGAGCCAGGAAAAAGAATGACCCTCCCACCACTACTGCCCCCCAGCATGGCGCTCTCCAAGGAAATGTTTCACTTACTAGAGAGAGCCCAAGACAAAGGCAGGTGATGATGTCACTGTGACGAGCATTTCTGTGTGCACAAGGAATGGGCTTGATACGTGCTGTGTTTATTTCATAGACCAATTAAATTTCCTTTCCAGCATATGATATGGTCTCCTAGCCTGCATAGGAGATAGGAGACAGATTCTCTGGTTTTTATTCTCTTCATCTGGAGCCTGAAAAAACAGAGGAGTAGGCCTGAGCTGATATCATTGTACGCCATTTCTGCATCCCCAGTGTCCTTGCTCTTAGAGAGGGCTGAGCCTTGCAATTTTTTCCTTCTCTAGCACTTTCAGTCTCCTTTACCCAGCCATTTCCATCTCGTCCCCTGCTGACATTGCCTCCCAGTTGGCTTCACTTAGTTCTTATATGGGCATCCAGAACTGTAATTGGAGCCCTAACTGTCTATCTCACCGCATATCTGATGGGTTTAGCGGAGGCCAGTGAGAGTGCTGTTGTGGGGGAGAGGACATTTGCAGACCTGGGAGCATTTCTGAATACATGGTAGCCTGTAGCTACTTGCTGTAAGTCCCTAAATCCTTTGTTCTGTGTATAAAGGACTTCTTACGTCTATCTGCCGCAAGCCTGGAACCACAGTGGAACACGGACCTCTCAGATGAAGAGGTAACAAGGAGAAGGAGGTTACAGAAAGTACAGGAAGGCAGCTGCTCTCTTCTGCTCTCCACATAGTTGACCACTGAAGCCTGTGGGGACATGGGGGCTTTCCTTTTTAGCTCTAGTAGTAGTGGTGGATGGTGCTTTGCTTTTGATTCTTGCCCGTGAAAATGATGGTGGAGGGTGCTGGCTGGCTGGCAGCTTTGCTTGGGTGGTTGTGAGTGCTCCTGATAACTTGACTCTTCTGGGACTAAGGAGGGGGCAGATTCTTCATAGCTTTTAGCTTCTTGTGCTGATAATTATTGCTTTTTCTCTGGAATCAGGGTGGAGAGGTGAAGGGCAGTTCTGGAAGATATTTGCTTGGTTTATCATAATAAATAAAAGAGCAGAAAGGAGAACAGAGCATGATGGATTTGGGCTATTGAAACATTGGCCAAGATGCCAAAATGCCATGGCAAAAGTCTCCGAGTTCCTCAGCTCTTCTTTTTGTGGCACGGACTCCATAGCAGGCAGAAAAGTGCCTATATACTGTAATAAGTGCAAGGATGTGACAGATACAATGCTACAAATGTCCACGGAGGTACTAGAAGTAAAAAAGATGAAAGGGAAACAGTTTTCCTCCCAGCAAGCTGCTAATAGCTTTGAACTTGCCATGCTTTGCGCTCCAAGGAGGGCCTTATCCTTATGGTTGACCTTGACTTACAAAGGGCATGAAACAAATGTGGAAGATGTCTTGAGTGGCAGTTGAAGGAAGCTGTAGGTGAGTCTATACAGATGTTACGGTCTTTCTAAAACCTTACACATGCTTTACAGGAGGCAGAATAAGCGGGTTTTTGTTTGTTTTTTGGCTTTTTTTTTTAAATCCTTATTGGAGCTGCTGCAAAATCTTGGTCAATTAATATGTTTTGAATCCTGCAACTAGACTGCTCTAAATGGTTTTTACTTGCTGTAGTCGTTTCCTTTCCAAAGGGACATCTTACTTGATAGTGAAGGAAAGAAACATATGGTCTTCTCTTGATTGAGTCTGCTGTGGGGTTTCTGGTAGTGTATGAATGTGGATGGGTTCGCTGAAACTCAGTTTAAGCAGCATGGTGAGGGCAGACCAGAGAAGCAGCTAGAAGATTGGGGGAGAAATTATGAGTTGTCTTCCTTCACTGGCTGGGGTTCACCTGACTGAAAGGGGAGGCAGCAGTGGACAAGCAGATCATCATCATGTCCATCCCCTACCACCAGTTCCTTTTGACTGTGCCCCATGCTGGAGTCTGGAATGAGGCATCATGTTGCTGAAGCCCGGCTGTGTAGGCTGTGCTCCCAGCCACCCAGGCAGGACTGAGACAGGAACAGAAAAGGGCAGGTATTTTAGCATCCAAACAGTGATGTGGTTTTGTGGACGTTTTCCCTTATGTTAGCAAGGGTATATCATTTCTGTGACTGCTCCAACAACCAAGCACAGGCCAACATCTTTGTAAAGTTTGGGGGCTTTTTTTGGGGGGG